GCAAATATCCTTGTTACAAGAAAACTAACGCAAGACAGACGATACTTTATTTATTAGTTATTGCTACAGCAAGCGGAGGTAGCATATGTTGCCCATAGCCAATCGTCGGCGTTGAACAAGTGAATAAGGATATACTTTTCAGCCGCTGCCCGCTGCTGTTTTCTAAACACAGCATTCCGTGATTTGACACCTCCGTCCGTTTCTCGAGAAAATACTAGAAGAGGTCTATGATCCACATCTGATTAATCTATACGACTGGATTACTCTTAAATGTTTTTACGAATTTTCTGGAAAATGAAATGAAATGGGCCCTTCATAAGCGTACTTGGTACTGAAGTATTTGCGCTTCTTTTCGTATAGTTATGAACAACACCAGGGTCTTTTGAAGGTGATAATCCCAGTGGAAAGGTATCCCACTACAAATCCATACCTCAGTCAGCCTTAATTGTTGGTCATATGTTTTGAGGTATCTTCTGACACTTCAGAATACGCTGGGCACCTCGTAGGAAACAAATTTGCCAAAATGCATGAACGCTGAAACATTACGCAAAATGCCTGTAACAATATGCTGACGCTTATTATACAGTCATGTGCATCTGTTTGCCAGACGGGTGCATTATATTCCCGAAAATGGATGCACTTTTGTAATTTTAAAATATGCTGAGTTGATTCGAAAATATAAGTTGACGTGATTGTGAGTACATAATATGAAAAGCACCGTCACAGTTATAATAATAAGTTATATATTTCAGGCCCATTGGGCCTCATCAATACACAGCATGCTCTACACAGCATGCTAGTTCAGGCAAATAGGACAATGCAACTCACCGCCAACAACACTAAACGTGGCCAATTCGCGCAGTTCCATATTACCAGTTCGTTTCTCACTTTCAAGTTGCGAATCAAATTGTAGTACAGGCCACATGTTGCGACTTTTATCCATTCCGAATATTATGAAGGACTGAGGTGGCCTAGTGCGCTTGTTGAAGGGACATGGAGACTGTAGCTTTTTCGCTCCGCCAATCCAAATCTCAGTTAGCGCCATAAGACGTCTTCCACATAAAGATAAAGAAGAAGAACAATATTAACTTACAAACACTCTACTCTTTCCAGAAATATGGGGTGATTTTCCAGCAGACTCTCCCGGAACTCGGCAGTCGTCTGGTACCACTGGATCTCTTTCAACATAAAAGGAACGTGCAAGTTCATATTCACATCGTCCGTGTCGTTGCAAGCGCTGACCCATCGTGAAATGGCTGCGAAAATCAGTTCCTCTGAACTCACGGTCAGATGATTACTTCGGAGCAGGGTGAGAACAGTGTCCGCTGGCAGGCTAGAAAACAAGTCACTGTACATAAAACTATCGAAGTGTGCCGCCATCCGCCGAAGGCAAGCATCCGTGAGCAGTGTGTTCTCGAGATAGTTGGCCAAGTTCCAGGTGGTCTCCAGATTTTCAGTACTCACGCTAATAACGGTGAGGTAAGCAAACATAACCAGGAGATGTTTACTTGTTGGCAAGAACGGTTATTGCCCAGTTCTCCAACATAGGCAGACGCACCATTCTTGCTAAGCCAACAATGCCCAATGCGTTATCCTGCGTTATCTCCACTTCGCCAGTGTACGCATATTGGATGAGGGAAATTGCTTGACTAGATAATGCATAAGCAGT